CATAGGCCCCTCTGCTCAGATGTAAGCCTATGGGAGCTGAACCTACTGCTGTCACAACTTCCTGCTTTTCAAGAGAAGGTAGAATCTCCATTTTATGTGGAATCTTCAAATTTTTAAACATCAGCAACTTATTCAAATTTGTCTGAAACTAAACAATATATGTCTAAGGACCAAATGTAGCTCCAAAACCCAATTTGAGAGCACTCACTCAGCCCAACATTACTGTGTCCCACTTAGAGGTTTACACATGAGGAATCCGAAGTCTGGAAAACTGCCATAGGTTTCCCCCAAATTGTGGAAAGTTGCATATAGAACCAGTCCAGGTTTCTCTCCTGGTTATTCTGCCTCCAGCTGGGGTGAGTCTGAAGCAGCCTGCTGTCACAAGAGACTTAGGCCATCAGGTGAATTCCTCCATACAGCTTCTTCCTGGAGGTCACACAGGCAAGAGAAAACGCCCTCCAAGTTGAAGTGACATTGGTTTGTGCAGAACAGAGAAGAGAATGTCAGCAGGAACAGGTCTCTTTGGACTACCCTTGCTGTCCCTCAAGCTCAACTGCTTCCCTCATCCCACAGGGCCCACAGAGGAAACTAGAGCAAATGGCGGTGGGGCAGCAGGCTTAGGCACAAGCCAAGGATTCCCATAATGTAGAAGACTAACCAAGACAAGATGGAAGCCACTGGGGTTCCTGAAAGTTTCCCTCTTCACCATAGGACTGGTGGGTCCCCTCACATCTCCCTCAGCTTCTGCCTCTGAGCTCTCCATAGACAGGTGCTCAAAACCAGATTCTCAAACATGGTGTACAGATATCCAAAGCAGGGACTATGCAGTGCTCTGAGAGCGGAAGCAGAAAGGAAAAAGATAAACCAAGAGGCAGCCAGGCCACAGTGTTATCATTATGGAAACTAGAATCTGGAAGTTATCTCCCAACCGTGTCCCTCAAGATAAACTGAGGATCACAACAGTTACAGAAATCAGCAGGTTAGGAGATGGATGTCTCTGACTAGCCCCCAGTCACTGTGCACATGGATGAAGTACCCCAGGGTCTGGGAACATGACTCCCACATACCATGAAATAAGAGAAGAGGATGCCGTGAGATAAGGTACGGCATGTCCCAGAGCAAACTTCAAAATCTGACACACCAAGCCAAAGTAAGCATGACTTCTCTACTCTAGGAAAGCAAAGCAAACACACAAGTTGCAAGTTGTTTTTTTACAAAAATCAAAAGCCAGCACTGAAGTCACCACATGTCCCTCCCCCATCTCATTCCCTTGTTCTCCAAAGGAAACACCTGCTGGGATTTAGTGTTCTGCATTTCCTGGGATCTTTATCACATGTTAGATATCCATAAATAAAATATACTGCTGTATTTGCATGTTTTAAATTTTATATTAACTGTCATCATTTGACAACTTGTTTTGAGAAACAGGCATGTATGTGAAATAACTATTGCATTTAAATTTGCTTGAGTTGATCCATTCTGTAGTCAGACATGTCTGCTGATTTCATCCACTGCTTCGGTGGACAGTCTTGTGGATGGTCCCTTGCTCCCAGGTGAGAAGATATGTAATAAAAGCTAGACTGATGCTGGGCTGAGGACTCACAATTCTACAGCAAATGTAATTGCTTCACTTCGTACTTCATTAGGATCCCTGTTTGTTCCTATCTTTATGTTTGGAATTGTCAGACGTTTTAAGTATTGCCAACTGAGGAGTATGAAATTGATCACGGTGATTTTAAATTTGATTTCATGGGAGACCTGGCAGCTTTCCATGTATTTATTGGCCGTTTGTGTACCTCTTCTGGAAATGTTATGGGCTTTGCTTGTTTATCTATAGGATTGTTTTAGTGTATTTTTAAACTATCAAAGTCATTTATATATGGTGAAAGTCTATTCACTGTTTGAGGCTTGATGTCTTAAAAAGATTGCTTACTCTAACTTAGTCAAATTTACCATTTTTATTTTTTCTTGATCGTTTAAATTTCTGAGTTTAAGGAACTGCCTATGCTATCTGCAAAGTGACAAAGGTTCTCTAAATTTCTTTGAAAAGTTTTCAATTTTTCCTTTTCATGTGGAGATCTTCAATCAACCTAGAATTTATTTTTATGTGTGATGTGATCTGTCTTTTCACATGAATAAATTCCCAGCACCACTGAATTTTTTCCCAGTAATTATATAATGCCACCTCTCTCATTACATATCATAAGTTTGTATTTGGAATCTCTTATTGGTTAATATGGCTAGCCTTGCCTCACTACCACATTTTCCTAATTACAATCAAATTGTCTTGATATCTCAAATGTTGTCCACCTATTCTTTTTTAAAAAATTTTTTAGATGTAGATGGACACAATACATTTTTACTGTATTTTTTATGTGGTGCTGAGGATCAAACCCAGTCCCTCCCAAGTGCTTGCCTAGTATTCTACCATGGAGCTATGACCCCAGCACCTCCATACATTATTCTTGAAAATGCTAACTACTCTGAGCTTTTTACTCCCCCCACCCCTTACTGGGGATTGAATCCAGGGACATTTTACAACTGAGCCATATCCCTACCCTTTTTATTTTTTGAGACAGGGCCTCGTGGCCTTGAACTTGTGAGCCTCAGCCTCCTAAATTGCTGGGATTAGGTGTGTACCACTGCACCCAGCTGCCTTTTATGTTTTCACCTGAATTTTATAATCAGCTTTCAAGTTTACTAAAAAATTTCTTGAGTTGGGCATGGTGGCTCAATCCTGTAATCCCAGCAACTAGCGAGGCTGAGGCAGTAGGATTGAAAGTTTAAGGCCAAACCCAATAACTTAAATCCTGCCTGCCTCAAATTAAAAAGTAAACCTAGAAAAAGAACTGGGAATATAGCTCAGTGGTAGAATGGCTGAGTTCAATCCTCAGTACCAACCCCTCAAAAATAAAATTGGGTGAATTTTGATTTGCATAATCTTTACACAGAAATTTAGAATCCATTTTTATATTGAATCTTTTTTTAAATGTTTTTTTTTTAGTTGTAGATGAACACACAGTATCTTTATTTATTTTTATGTGGTGCTGAGGATTGAACCCAGTGCCTCACACATAGGAGGCAAGCACTTTACCACTGAGCTACAGCCTTAGCCCCTTATATTGAATCTTCCCCAACAACAAATATGGTGTAGCTTTTCTTTGCCTTAGGTCTTTTTCATATCTATGAAGTTTTATTTCTTCTATAAAGACCTTATATCTCAAAAAAATAGATCTTATATCTCTTTTAGATCTAAGTATTTCGTTTTTGTGAATATGATTAATGGCATTTTTTTTTGTACTTGGAGGAATTTTATTAGTAATAATATTTGTTCAGTGAGAAGGTCAGGGATAAAAAAGTCCCCCAAAGCAAGTTTTAGTTCCACACTAAACATGTAAGTGATGTCTTCTTTGGTTTCTTTCAGCTTTAACATTTGGTAGATCTAATTTGAAATGAGTTCCAGAACAGGGAAGAAGCTGAGGCAAGAGAGAGAAAAGAATGGGTGAACAGTTGAAAAGTGTAGTTGAAAAAATGGGGAGACTGAGAGAGTACTATAATGAAGCCCATCTCAAACAAAAAGCAACCAATAGGATTTTCAGAAACTCGGTTGGAGCAATGCCCACCTCAGTCATCTCCCAGGTAAATACTCCCCCAGTGTCCAGGACCTGTGGCCCATCTACTCCCACATGCCTGCCTCGCCCTAAAGGCTTTCTGAGGTCTTCAGTCTGTCACTTGGATCAACATAAAACTAACCAAGCCCTGACTTTCATAGTCATTAAACAACAAATATTCCCTGAG